GGTCGAGAACCATGGTCTCAGATTTGGAGGTGCTGATCCTCATCCCAGCCGCTTCACATTCGGCCGCGAACCTACCCAGCAAGAGCTGAAGGTCAGAGCTGGATGAAGCTAGGAGGACCACATCATCCGCAAAAAGCAGAGACGAGATTCTCCTGCCACCAAACTCGACACACTCCACACCACGGCTGCGTCTAGAAATTCTGTCCATAAAAGTGATGAACAGAACCGGTGACAAAGGGCAGCCCTGGCGGAGTCCAACCCTCACTGGGAACAGGTCCGACTTACTACCGGCTATGCGGACCAAACTCACGCTCCTCTGGTAAAGGGACTGAATGGCCCTTAACAGAAAGCCACCCACCCCATACTCCTGGAGAGTCCCCCACAGGGTGCCCCTGGGGACATGGTCATAAGCCTTCTCCAAATCCACAAAGCACATGTGGATTGGTTGGGCAAACTCCCATGCCCCCTCCATCACCCTTGCAAGGGTATAGAGCTGGTCCACAGTTCCACGGCCAGGACGAAAACCACATTGCTCCTCCTCTATCTGAGATTCAACTATCGATCGGACCCTCCTCTCCAGTACCTTGGCGTAGACCTTTCCAGGGAGGCTGAGGAGTGTGATCCCCCTATAGTTGGAACACACCCTCAGGTCACCCTTCTTAAAGATGGGGACCACCACCCCGGTCTGCCACTCCCTAGGAACTGCCCCCGATGACCATGCAATGTTGTAGAGACGTGTCAACCATGACAGCCCTACAACATCCATAGCCTTGAGATACCCAGGACGAACCTCATCCGCCCCCGGGGCTCCGCCGCTGTGTAGTTGTTTGACTACCTCAGCAACTTCTGCCCCCGAGATCGGACAGTCCATCCCCAGGCCTCCCAGCTCTGGTTCCTCCTCGGAATGCGCATTGGTGGGATTGAGGAGCTCCTCAAAGTATTCCTTCCACCGTCCGACTATAGCCTCAGTTGACGTCAGCAGCTCCCCATCCCCACTGTAAACAGTGTGAGCGAGTTGCTGCCTTCTTCTCCTGAGGCGCCGGACAGTTTTCCAGAACCTCTTTGGAGCCGATCGATAGTCTTTCTCCATGGCCTCACCAAACTCCTCCCACGCCCGAGATTTTGCCTCGGCAACTGCCACTGCTGCACCCCGCTTGGCTATCCGGTACCTGTCTGCTGCCTCCGGAGACCCACAGACCAGCCACGCCCTGTAGGCCTCCTTCTTCAGCCTGACGGCTCCCCGAACCTCTGGTGTCCACCAGCGGGTACGGGGGTTGCCACCACGACTGGCACCGGCCACCTTACGACCACAGCTAGCAACAGCCGCCTCGACAATCGCAGAGTGGAACAAGGCCCACTCGGACTCAATGTCCCCCACTGCTCTCGGGACGTGGTCAAAGCTCTGCCGGAGGTGGGAGTTGAAGACCTTCTTGACAGGTTCTTCTGCCAGGCGTTCCCAGCAGACCCTCACTATGCGTTTGGGTCTGCCAGGTCTACGCGGCATGTTCCCTTGCCATCTGATCCAACTCACCACCAGGCGGTGATCAGTTGACAGCTCCGCCCCTCTCTTCACTCGGGTGTCCAAAACATACGGCCGCAGGTCAGATGATACGACTACAAAATCTATCATCGACCTGTGACCTAGGCTGCCCTGGTACCAAGTGTACCGGTGGGCATCCTTATGTTCGAACATGGTGTTCGTTATGGCCAAACTGCGGCTTGCACAGAAGTCCAATAACAAAACACCGCTCGAGTTCAGATTAGGTGGGCCGTTCCTCCCAATCACACCCCTCCAGGTCAAGCTGTCATTGCCCACGTGAGCATTGAAGTCCCCCAGCAGGACAATGGAGTCCCCTGATGGAGCACTATCTAGCACTCGTCCCAGGGACTCCAAAAAGGGTGGGTACTCTGAACTGATATTTGGCCCATAAGCACAAACAACAGTCAGGACCCGTTCCCCGACCCGAAGGCGCAAGGAAGCTACCCTCTTGTCCCCCGGGGTAAACCCCAACACACAGGCAGAGAGTCTCGGGGCTAACAAAAAGCCAACCCCAGCCCTCCGCCTCTCACCCGGAGCAACTCCAGCAAAGTAGAGTGTCCAACCCCTCTCCAGGTCTCGGGTTCCAGAGCCAATGCAATGTGTCGAGGTGAGTCCGACTATATCTAGCCGGTACCGCTCAACCTCTGCCACAAGCTCCGGCTCCTTCCCCGCCAGCGAGGTGACGTTCCATGTCCCAAAAACTAGTTTTCTTGTCCGGGGATTGGACCGCCAAGGCTCCCGCCTTGGTCTGCCACCCGATTCGCATTGCACCGGACCCTTCATGTTCCTCCTGCGGGTGGTGGGTCCACAGTTGGACGAGCCCATGTATCCGGTTCGGGCTGGGCCCGGCCGGGCCCCATGGGCGAAAGCCCGGCCACCAGGCGCTCGCTCACGGGCCCCAACCCCAGGCCTGGCTCCAGGGTGGGACCCCGGTAACCCTCCGGGCCGGGTACTCCGACTCTTCGTTTTAACCGCCATGAAAGATCCTTCGAACCGTTCTTTGTCTCACCCTTCACCTAAGACCAATTTGTCATGGGAGACCCTACCAGGGGCACTAAGTGCCCCAGACAACATAGCTCCTAGGATCATTAGGGCACTCAAACTCCTCCACCACGATAAGGTGACGGTTCAAGGAGGAGTCCATAATGAATTCTTGTTTAAAATCAAATATAACTTTTGATTTATTTATCAGAAATAATTGAATTGATAAAATGTATGTGTAATAGTCAATTATTTGATTGTAAATAACTGATATGAACTATTGTGTTCTCATTTGTCGACTGCAAAACTATGGGTGGTAGATGCACTAATTTGTAATTAGGTTTGGCCTTGGATAAGAGTTTCACTTTCAAACCCTTTTCAGTCATTGTTTTTGTTTTGTTTAAGTTTTAGGTTTGTAGGTCAATTTCTTTTGTGTAAAGATATTATTGACTGAAATAAACATATTCATTCATTCATGCATTCATTCATTCATTCATTCATTCATTCATTCAGTTTGCGCCTGTAACAGATACCTAATGCATTTTCTGTAATCCCAACAGAAATTAAAATTAGAAATCCCAAATGCAGATTTTATTCCTGGAAACACATCAGATTGTCTCTCTCTTATAGCGAATCCGATGGTCTGATCCCAGTACAGATCATCAATGCTTACTTTACACTCTGAACTAATCCAGTCTGCAGGAGCCTCATTACGTCTGCACCCTGCAGTGATGCTGGTGGAACACAGATTGCCTTCCCTGCAGGTTTTAAACATCCCTGTAATGGTTCCACCTTGTTCTGCCATGCCTGTCCTGTTTGTTTGTTTTCCTTTCTGCCGGTCCTCCTGTTAATCAGCTTTACCCAGTTCACCTGCGCCTTGCCTGAGTGTTTCCTTGCTTCACCTGTGTGCTCCTCCACTTAAGCACAGCTCAGGCTCTGTCTCCGTGCCAGATTATCGGCAGCCTTGTGCCAGTAGACACTCCAGTGATATTATCAACCAAGCCTTTTGACTTTTGACCATGTTTCTGCCCCCTGATTCTGCCTGCCTTGCCCCTCACGGATTCCCTCGCCCATCTGTCATCTGGACCCCGACATTAGCTCTAACTTTGACTACTGATCCCTGCTCAACCCCCTGATAAGTATTGCTGACTTCTGCCTGTTTGTGTATGACATTGCCTGTACCTCACTTTGACATTATATTTTTGGATACTTGAACTTCTGTGGGCTGTAATAGTTGTCTGTCGTTTTGAGGAGAGGAGCTGAATCCACAGACCAAAGAGGAGCTCCCATAGCTGGCACTGAGACAGTCCCACCCCCTCTCCCTGTCATTGCAGCATATGCAACGGTCTTCCAGTTATTCTCATTACAATCCCAGTAAAATTATTTTCAATCTGTGCACTCTGGCATCACTAATCGGATGCGCATCCATCCACCAGCATGACTCAAACTAATTGGGACTGGTGGTATCTGAGAATTAAGACAAAGTCTTGAGTTGTAGTGGATTTGTGTTCATAATTCTGAGTGAGTTTGCTGCACTCACAGCATTCATAATGAAAACGCAAACTAGTTTTACATTCTAAACAGAGATGATGGATCTGTTTCATAAACCACAGCTCGATGGGTCTGCAAGCAGCTGCTGGTAAATGTTTCAGCACCTCTCCTGAGATGTTTTACAACTTTAATGTTGAGCGTTCAGCTGACGTCACACACCTAAATACTGCTAAAGTTCAGATGAAGGCATATATTTATATTTCATTACTTTAAAACAACATCCCCAATTTGCACATGTTGGATGCCATTTGGACAACATTTAAGTGTCTTTAGCCAGCTCCTAGAAGTTTCTAAAATAAGACGGTCATCCTCAGGAGAGGGAAGGACATTGTATTTCATTAAGAAATAATAATTGTGTTCAGTCTTTAACTTTTTATTTTAATGAATCGAGAGTGTGATTAAATCCTCTTACAGTGGAGCAACAGGATAATCTAACAAAGGGTAACTGAGGACATCTAGTGACGATAAATAGAAACGAAGACAACAAACAACAGGTTGAACAGGAGCGACAAATTAATTACAAGATTAACAAACCTGAATAAAAACATCAAACAAATCAAGTTTACAATATTGTATATATTTAGATTTTCTATCCAACTTTGGCAAGTTTATACCTCAGTTATCAGAGAAATATGTTTCATGTGTATTGAAATACAATCTGCATAAAATGATTATATTCATACATTTCAGAGAAGTTTTTAGATGGGAATCTCCAACATTTAGAGATTTCTTTCAATTGAGAAAAGCTTCTTGATGCATTCCTGTTCAGTTGTGGTACTTAAAATATTATCGTTGTTATGATTAGGGAAACAATATTTAGTTACAGCATTTTTTTTATTTTAAAAATACTGTTTAGCATGTATTTTTATATTTAATGTATATAAATTGTTAAAAGTTAAAAGGAATGTTGGTTTTTTATTATTTATTTATTTATTTTTTGTTTATGAGGTCCTACTTTTCCAGCAGCCTGGTGGAAAACACCAAACGGAAACTTCAGGAGGTTTAAGTTAAGAGCTGAAGGAGATGTGTCTGCTTTGATCCAACATGCAGGGGTGTGTGTAGTTTGTTGCGACTCTGAGTATGTGATGAGATTGATTTTTCTGATCTCATCACGTTCAGGGTTTGAAGAAATGAAAGTGTACCTCCACCAAAGAACAATTTAATGAACTCTTCAGTCTTTTCTGGTCACAGGGGTTAAAAGACAAAAGCAAGCTGCGTGTGCTGTTAGGTGTTGTTATCACAGCTGGACACACAGTTTGGGGTGAAAACGGCAACATGAATGGGCCAAAATTCTCACGCTCTGATGTTTGAGGCAGAATATGTTCAGAACGACAAGAGGGAAATTAGAGTCCTCCATAAAGACCAGTTCAAGTCTTGCACAACATCTCATGTGGATGAATGTCACCATCCTATGATGTGTTTTTGTCTGTCATGTCTTTTCCAAGAAGAACCCAGAAGTTCATTTTATTCACAACTCAAAGACCTGCTATTCCCCTGACATGATGCTGAATTACAGCTTACAGCTCACCCTGTGGGCTTTCATTTCTATTATTACACCTGGAAACAGTCCAGATGAAGCAAAAACCTGAACGATGGTTGGTTACAACCTTCCATGATGCTCAACAGCATTTTCCCTTAGAATGTTCAGATTTTTATTCACTGCAGTGTGTGTGGCATGTGGTGACAACTTTTTAAAGAAATATTAGGCAACTTTTTCATAACATTATGGAGTCCGCAAGGGGATCGTGAAGAACTCCATTTTTTTTAGATTTTTAGATTTTCTATCACTTCACCAATATTTCCAGTTTGGTTCAATATAAGGACTAAAATAAAGAGCAGCAGATCAAACGTTTAACGTCTTGACAGCGGTTTGTGCTTTCTAAATGAACTGGAACGTGAAAAGAAACACCAGACAGACCAAGTGATACATCAGTTTATCGTAACATGAAGCACCCTCATGCACCAGGAGTATCGGCAGGAGAAAAACAAGCTCATCGGGCAACAGCTGTCTTAACATCAGCAGCTCAAAAGCCATGAAAGACTTCAGGTTTATGGGAACTGTGCAGCAGATGAAGGAAGCTGTTTTAAATCTGTTTCAAAAAGGAGGAAAACATTGTTCAGATGCACTTGAGCAGGTAAGAGTTGCAGCTGGCTCCTCGTCTGCAGTCGCAGAGCTTCCCAATACGAGGTCCAAACTTCATGGCACAGCGGTCTCCCATCCCACACTGAGGAGAGGAGGACATTAGAAACCACCACAAGAGTTAGGCCTGGCACATTTCAGTTAACTCAGATTAATCATTCACGTGTTTTTTTCTGTAGATTTAATGTCTTTTATTTGTTAGAGAGTGAGAGAGGCAGATTTTTTATCCAGATAATTAGATCCTGTTCATTAGCTCACACCAAGCCTGATGGTGATGGATTTTTCACTGAGAGGTGTTATTAAAGCCACTTTCTCACCAAACCAAAGTCAGCAGGTAATCTTTATTTGGTTTGTAATTACAGTTAACAACTGTTGCTGTAATTTTGGTGTTATCTTTTAATTAGTGGCAAGTTTAATTTGCTTACAGGTTTAATTAAAAAGTAGCAAAAGGATGTTTGCAACAGCCCTCTCTCATGACTGAGGCTGTAAATGTGCATTTCATCGATATTACTTCAGAAAAAGTGAAGTTACCACTGGGATGCTCCCTCTTTTCTCATTGGAAGACGTCCGATCACGCGTCTGGCCCAGCAGAACCTCCAGAGCTTCCACCTGAGCAGCAACAATGGCAGCAGAAGCAACGTTACGCTGCATTATGAGCAGATAAATAAAACTACAATATTGTTCCTCAGATGGAGAACACAGAACTCTAAGTTGGTGTTGGTCACACTGGAACTATTTAGTAAAAGTTCCAGTTTCCAGTTATTTAAAATGACATCTCTACTGGAGGGTAAAATATTAGATCTGCTCCACAGACATACTAATATTAATACAAAAAATATGAAAACTTTAAAATATTATGGAGAAAATCCACAATAATTATGTTAGGTAACTTGAGTATATATACTTTTATATTTATGCTAGATCAAAATAAACATAAAAATGCAGATTAGTTAGCAAAAATTAACATTTTATTCACAAACTGAGAAATGTATCATCTTACATCAGTACATGTTAATGGACTTTACAAAATATTGAAGATTTTCCTACTTCTAACACAAGTTAGATTCAGACCTCCTACTGACCAGGTCTCTGTCAGCGGCTGGGGCTGGTTTGTCCATCTCAGAGTTCTCAGCAGAGACTTCCCGAGTGGCCTGGCCATGACACAGGATGGACAGGAGGCCGACGAGCAGCAGTCTGTGGAGCAGCCTGGAGCTCTCCATGGTACTGGTCCAGAGGGATGAGGAGGAGGCAACAGATCAGAGGACGGAGGAGCTGAGGCTCACAGCAGGATGTTCTCCCTCAACCCATCCTTACTTCTCTTATATCAGTAAATGAAGCCCCGCCCAGGAGACTGCAGCATCACAGAGAAGACTCCTGCACTCGTCTCTGTTACCTACAAGAATCACTTTTGTGAGTAACAGAGATCCAGCCTTCATGGCTGATGAAATCCACACTAATGACATGATTACCTGCTCAGGTGGTTCCATCAGAATTTAAACTGAATTCAGCTCTTCAATGGAAACTTGCACAGGAACTCAAACTCCATCAAATTCGCCAAATACATCTATTAACGCTGAAAAATTCAGCATAGAGATGGTCAGTCAAATGTTTCTGTTTTTTTTACACCATTTGGAAGTAACATAAAAACCAATGTTTCTTGAGTCAGATAGAAGCAATAGAAACAGAAACTATTTTTGCTAGATGGAAGAAAAGCTAACAGCAACTAGCTACAGCAGTACAAACACACAGAGAAGATACATCCACAGTAGATTTAGCGGGATTGTACCCTTAATAAATTCATATGCTATTAAAAAGTCATATAAATAAATATAATTAGTTACAATATTTTACCAGCAGATGAGTATTAATTGTAATCAAACAGAAATTCGCCCTTAAAGATAGGGTGAGAAGCTCGGCCATCTGGGAGGGGCTCGGATTCGGCGGCCCGCTCCTCCACATCAAGAGCAGCCAGCTTGCACATCTGGTTAGGATGCCTCTTGGAAGCCTCCCTGGTGAGGTTTTCTAGACATGCCCAACTGGGGGAAGACCTAAAGGAAGACCCAGGACACGCTGGAGAGACTATGTCTTACGGCTGGCACGGGAATGCCTTAGGATCACCCCAAAGGAGCGGGCCCAAGTTACTGGGGAGAGGGAAGTCTGGGCCTCCCTGCTTAGGCTACTGCCTCCATGACCCAACCCTGGATAAGTGACCATGGATGGATGGAGTGATGGATGGATGGATGGATGGATGGATGGATGGATGGATGGATGGATGGATGGAAGGAAGGAAGGAAGGAAGGAAGGAAGGAAGGAAGGAAGGAAGGAAGGAAGGAAGGAAGGAAGGAAGGAAGGAAGGAAGGAAGGAAGGAAGGAAGGAAGGAAGGAAGGAAGGAAGGAAGGAAGGAAGGATGGATGGATGGATGGATGGATGGATGGATGGATGGATGGATAATCAGTGCAGTCTCGGTTCTGTGGTGTTGTCTAAAGCATGACTGGAAACTATCTAGCAGGTTGTTAGTCTCCAAAAAGCCGTTCAGCTGGATCTCTACTGCTTTTTAATTTATTTCCTAATGAAAGGGAGATTAGAGATTGGTCTGCAGTCATTCATCACTAAGGGATCTAATTTTCTTTTCTTTAGAAGAAGTTTAACAGCAGCAGTTTTCAATGATTTTCGGAAAAGTACCTGACATTACGGAGCAATTAACAATTTTTAGCTTTCGAGCAGCTAAAAACATTTTTAAGGAAGTTCGTTTGCAGGTTGTCCAGACAGCAGGTAAATCAATTTAAGGCAACTATGTCCTCCAGTTTTTTCAGCACTAATCACTCTGGAAGGTGGCATTACACATTGGTGCTGTATGTTTGTAGCAGTGGTCTGGTAGTTGACAAGAATTAATGAATGGCCAATCTGATGTTTTTGATTTTCTCATTGAAAAAGGAAGCAAACTCCTTACACTTAGTTTGGGATAGGAAATCAGTGGACTAACTGTGTTAGGAGATTAGTTAGCCTCTCAACAGAAGCAAACAGAACACAAGAAATGTTAATAATATCACTAACGACTCTGGAGAAAAAGGATTGTCTCGCCTTATTTAATTCAGAGTGGTAAGTGTGCAGCTGCCTTTTGAAGGTTTCATAGTGATCTGGTGGGTTACTTTTACTGAAATGACACTCGTCTCATTCTCTTTTCTCATTAGTAACTGATTTAGTGAAGCTCCACTGAGTTTTATGCCAGAGATAAGTTTGACCTTTTTCAGGTGTTCACACAGCAGAAGTCCTTGACTTCAGAGTTTTGCAGTTGAAATGATTTAAAAGTGAATCAGCACAGTTGATTCTCAGACTTGTTGACATATTCATACGTTCCATAAAAACGGATGCTGAGTGATTAGCCCAGATAACTTTTTTTGAGAACAACTGAGGTGTGATGTGTAGCAGGTAAAACGGATATCTCAGAAAAAACACAAAAATGGTCAGGTGGACCCACATCCTTAACAACGTTTGACACATCCACATCTTTGGTTATGATTAAGTCGATCATGTGTCCGAAATCGTAGGTTTGATCATGGACATTTTGCTGAAGATCAAATAATTTAAGCACGCTAAGGAATTGCTCTGCAGATTTGTCATTAGCATCATCAACATGAATAATAAAGTCGCTGGTTTTGTGCAAAGTCTGTTGTGATAACAGAAAGAAGCTCAGTGAGGTTTTCTAGGAAGAGTACATGGCCCTGCAGGGCCTGTAGATTACAAACACTTTGGTGTACCTTTCAGTTCAACACAAATATACTCAGAGTCACAATCATCACACACTAGCTGTTTAAATAGAAACGAGCAGCTACACCAGCACCTCTCCTGTCAGACCGAAGCACGTTTAGAGATGTGAAATTTGGTGGCGTTGATTCTATTAGACCTGGTGCACCGCTACTGTCATTTAGCCAAGTTTCAGATAAAAATATGAGATCCAGATCATGAGCAGAGATAAGATTTTACTAAGAATGACTTGTTGCTAAGAGATCTAACATTGAATAAAACCAGAGATGGTGGGAGGACCTTGTGGAATGGGCCTCATGGGAACTGTTATCAGGTTTTTTGGGTTATGTGAGCGAACAGGCACTTTCCGTTTTGTAGAGATTATAACAGAGATAGGGAAAACTACACTGGTACATAATTACAGTTTTGCCCTGTTGCCAATACCAAAAATTTGCAGCATTTTCTTTTAAAATAAATTAGAGAAAGTGTTTGTTTTCAGTAACTCTTGCAACCTTAATGAATCCAGTTTCCTCTTCTCCTTCAAGTCCTCCTCCTTAATCTTAATATTGACAAGAGATAAAGCAAGAAAGATGATTTTTAAAGCGTCATTGAGGATGATGACACTAAAATATTCTCTTCTAAATGGCTAAGATGAACAAAAAAGTAGTACCAGATTTCAAACACGACTCCCACAACTTCCCTTTTCTTAAGTCAAGTCAAGTATTCTTTATTCTCTTAGTCAATTTACAGAAGTAGGAAAACTTTTTACAGATAAGATCAAATGAAATGAGCACAAAATGACACGCTAAAGCACAAGAGACAAATAATCATGAAAACAGAAACAAGAGACAATAATACCAGTAGTGTGAAAATAAAGTATAAATTATAGAACCCCCTAATCTAATAAAGTGTTTCCAAAATCTACACCAAAGCATCTGTTTAGTTAAAAATGTATCAATATCCTCCGTGTTTGTATGGTTATGTATTTATTAATTAAGCAAAGTAAACGATTTAAACTTTGAAACAGAAGGGAATGTGAAGGTCCAGACTCCAGACTCCATCTCAGGAGCGTCTGGCACCGCCAGAGGGCGCTGCGGAGTCGGCGCGTCCAGCCGGAGGCTGCCCTGTTTCCTGAAACGCATACTTCAGGATTAAGAACACACCCAGTGACATCAGTGAGGTTTGAAGAAGCAGAAAAAAGTCTCAGCTCAAACTCTGCAGACGAAGACAAGAGGACCGCGAGGTCCTTCCCGGGTTTCTGTGGCTGCTGCGTATTTTTGTTTCGCTGTTTGGGAAGCTGGACTCAGACCAGGATCACTTTGAATAAATTCTTCAGCTGCACAGAGTTTCTCTAAAAGAGGATGTCAACTTCAGACGAGACAGACGGGCCGCGGCCGAGATATGGCTGTAAGTCCACATTTACCACTTTTTTTATTCTAAGATGTTTATTGTAGAGGAAGCGCTCCGGGCCGCAGCCCGCCTGCTGCTCATGGAAACTCCTCAAACTCAAGGAAACATATATATGTATTTATATATTTCTGATTGGAGACGCAGAGTCAGGTCAGCTTTACCTCTGACAGCGTGCTTTTTCAGCTTTATTATGACTTCCGCGTTTCACTGCTGCACTGTTAGGAGGGAGGAGGCCTGTCTTACAGTTTACTCAACTCATTTTTTCACTGGCACATTGCAAACACGTTATTTAAATTGAGTAGATAAGTTAATTATGTTGTAATCAAAACACAGCAGAGCAGTCACCATTCTGTTTCCTGACTGTGTATGAATGAAATGGGAATATCAAAGCAACAACCACCGCCCAAGTCTAGCAAAAGTTTAGAAAAATGGACAAATGGATAATTTGAGTGGCTTTAATAAGTAAATCTTTGTCCTTCTGTTTTTATTATTTACAGATGATAAACTAATGGATTTGGAGTGAAATATTTTCCTGACTTTACGTCTCAGGTTTCACCCAGGCTCATGTTTTACCTTCAGATGAAGGAGCCTTTGATCCCACACACTTCCCTCTCTCATTCCAGACCTGGCAGGGTCAAAAGTGTCTGCTGTATTCCCTCCTCCCGCATTCACCGTAATTTAAGGGGAAAAAATAGAAAAGCTTTGGATTTTGTGTAATCTCGCAGGCTCTGCCTTTTTTCTGTAACCTCCACAGTCCTGGTTGTGTCCTTGGGGTCTGAATAAGCCCTGACGGCAACATGCATGCTCACATCACTCAGGGCGACAACCCTGAGACACAAAGCGTGTGTTAACTAGCAGATGACTAATAAGCAGGGGTTGTTTCTTGTGCAACAAGCAGCTTTTGTGGGAGTTGGGAGAAGTTGCATCACTGTTTTCTCCTCTAGTGGAACCTGAACACTATACTGTTAAAACTGTGGCACTTTGTGCTGTTTGTGGTGCAAACTTTTGATTTATTGTCAATATTAGGTGTGTGATTTTGTTTGTGTGGTTGCAGCTGTCCTGGATGGCGTGGAGCGGCTCACGGCGGAGGAAATGGATGAGCAGCGGCAGCAGAACATGGCCTATGAGTATCTGTGTCACCTGGAGGAAGCCAAAAGGTAAGGGGCTGTGGTTTTTGCAGCATGCCTGTAGGATTTAAGAGGTTTTTATTCAGGCCACGATGCCATCTCTGACTCTAAATCTTGTTCTTTATGCAGCCGTAAAAATAATTTTTTGGATTTCAGATCAACAATCAAATATTTGCAGCCATAAACGTCTGAACGACAATGAGACATGTCCAGTTTGTTTCTGCTGGAAGTTTTTGGCAAATAATCAATTGTATTGTGATTTAGGATAAAATAATAAAATATGTATTATTTTTATTTGGAAAATGTCCTGATTATCAAAGTTTTTGGTGTTTATTGAAATTAGAAATCTCATGAGACAATAAACCAGTTGATTTGTCTGGTTTCAGCTTTTAAGTTCCTGCACAGATCCAGATGTCTTGCTGTCCTGTCTGGTTTTTGATTCTGAATCAGCTGCATTAGCCTGAGTACTTGTGATGCAAAGTACATATTTCATATGTATGCAACATAACACACTAGTGCTGTACTCCCTCTGCAGAAAGAAACCTTACCCTAGACATCACAATTAAAATACATCAGCTAGTTCAGTGAAGTGGAACGTGTGCAGTCGAGCATAAACGACGGTTAACTGGTTTTCTAAAGACTCAATCGCCTAATAACCCTTCAGATTGCTTTTTAACATTATTGTAAATTTATAAAACATTCCAAATTGCTCATCAATCCAAATCACCTATTTAAAAAGCAAATCAGTGAAAGGAGGCACTTTCCAGAGGAATCTGGTCTCCAGCTAGGAGAGGGAATTATAAATGACTTCATATGATGCATTAAACATTCCCTCTTCCAGAGACACTCACTAACTGACTGTGTCATTTTATGAGACTTTTATAGGAGGTGACAAATGTCGTCTTCTATTAGAGGGATCACCCAGTTGCTTATGAGAGTCCCCTTTTCATCTTTGGTTTGCTAGCAGCTACTGATACTCTACCACATCAGACGAGGCATAAATGGCTACGGTAGGTGTTTGGCAGAGAATTACAGTGTAGACCTATAAACAAATCACACTGGAGTTTGTGAGGATCACAGCATGACCACTGCCTACTTAGGGTTACAAACCAACTGTACCAAATGAAACTATTTAATTTAATAATTAAGCACCACAAATGTGAAAATCCCCTAAAATCACATGAAGATGAATGGAGATTTTGTTATTTTAGTCAAATCATGAATTATTATTGATTTTACACTGTGTTGGTGATCTAGTATCAGTCAGATTATGTAGTGAACACTTTCAATACAATAGGTTAAAAAACCTCAACCAAAACCGTTCACAGATCCAATCAGCTCAATCCCTCATGCTTGGACAGAGAGTTGACAGTCTAACAGAAATAACCACCTCAGTCTGTCCATGGAGCAGTGCGGGGACAGCAGTCCGCTACTGCACACGTTCCTCCTCTCCTTGAAGACCTCATGTAGGGGCGGTGAGGCGTTGTTCGTGCATGGCCCTGAATCTAGACAGTCCTCTGCCCAGTCACCTCCTCCACTTCAGCCCCAACACAGAGCTGGCCTTCTTTATGATTTTGTTCAGCGTTGCTTCCAGTGCCACTCCAGCACACAACAGCATAGAGGAGGGCTATTGCCACTACGGACTGGTGGAGCATGTGCAGCGGTCTAGAGCAGATGTTGACTTGACTGCAGCCTCCAAAGAAAGCACATACACCGACTCAGTGGCCTAGTGGTAGAGTGTCCGCCCTGAGATCGGGAGATCAGGGGTTCAACTCCTGGTTGGGTCATACCAAAAACTTTGAAAAAATGGGACCCAATGCCTCCCTGCTTGACACTCAGCATTAAGGGGTTGGATTGGGGGGTTAAACCACCAAATAGTTCCCGAGCGCGGCTTGTCTGCAGCTCACCGCTCCCCCAGGGGATGGGTCAAATGCGGAGAATAAATTTCACCACACACCTGTGTGTGTGACGACTAAATGGGACTTTAATCTTTAATCTTTAATCTTTAAGCACATCCTGGACTGGCATCCTGTAACGCTGGCCTGTGTTGGTGGCCCAGTCCAGCTTAATGTTCAACATTACCCCCAAGTTCTTGTATGATGGCACAATCTCATCACCGTCTCTATGAGCACCATCTGATGTGCAGGAGTTTTCCTCCTGAAGTCCAGAATCACTTCCTTGGTCTTCTGAGCATTGAGCTGCAGCTGGTTCTTCTGGCACCAGGCCACAAAGTCCTCCACCAGCCGACTGCACTCCCCTCTCCTCACCCCCGTTGATGTGGGCCGCAACAGCCATACCATCAGAGACTTTGTGCATAAGGCAAGCTGCAGTGTTGTGGCAAAAGTCAGACATATACAGTGTGAAGAGTGAAGGAGACAATAATGTTCACTGCGGCACCCCCACTCTGCAGCTGAGGGTGCAGGAGATCGATCCTCCCATGCTGCCCATTAGACAAATAATCCATGATCCATGACACCAGCAAGGGCTCTGCAACATCCTGCTGCTCTTCTCCTGTAGCTCGTGAGGTTGAATAGTATTTAATGTGCAGGAGAAATCAAAGAGTAGGAAAAGGGTGGAATGCCTTCTCCGGGTCATGGATGAGGTCTTGCCTCAAGTGGAGGAGTTTAAGTATCTTGTTCATGAGAGAAAGAAAGATGAAGTGTGAGGTTGATTGGTGCTGCGTCTGCAGTGATGCGGGCGTTGTACCGGTCTGTTGTGGTGAAGGGAGAGCTGAGCCAGAAGGCAAAGCTCTTGGTTTACCCATTAATCTAAGTTCCTACCCTCACCTATAGTCACGAGCTTTGGGTAGTGGCCGAAAGAATGAGATCACGGATACAAGCGGCTGAAATTAGTTTTCCCCACAGGGTGTCTGGGCTCTCCCTTAGAGATCGGGTGAGAAGCTCACTCATCTGGGAGGGGCTCAGAGTAGACCCGCTGCTCCTCCACATCAAGAGGAGCCAGTTGAGCTGGCTTGGGCATCTAGTTAGGATGCCTCCCTGGTGAGGCTTTCCATGCACGTCCAACTGGGAGAAGACTCAAATGAGGACACAGCACATGTTGGAGGGACTATGTCTCTCGGCTGGCCAGATAATGCCTTGGCCTGCCTGCTTAGGCTGCTCTTCCCGTGACCCGCCCTCTGATGAGCAGACGATAATGGATGGATGGAGAAATCAAAGAAGAGTACCCTCAGCGCAGCCCCCTTCATCCAGGTGTGCAAGGCTGTGATGTAGGAGATGGAGGACAACTTCCTCCACCACCACCCTTGCAGATCCTGGATATGTTGCATCTGTGGCTTCAGAAACTGCAGCCCTAACCTCTTCAAGGTCTTCATTACATGAGGTCAGAGCTACATTGCGATAGTCACTATCGTCCTTGGGAAGTTTAACCTTCAGGAGAGGAACAGTGTTGGAGCTCTTCCAGAGGGATGGAACACATCCCAAGCACAAGCTTGAAGAGATGCTTTAGAGGACCCCCAAGTTCATTTGCACAAGGTCTTAGTTTGGGACACACCCTGTCTGGACCCACTTATTTCCTCATTAACATGACTAGCTGTGACGGCCATCTTGGATTGGAACGATTCCGAAAGTTAATCAGTTGCAAACGTACATCCAGTGAAGTCTGTAACCTCTATCTTGAGTTTTGAGATATTTTCCTCACACTGAAGATAAACTCACACATGCAGCCGTACTGAAGAAGTCTAGATGGAGTGTGTGTTGGTGTTCAGCAGCTTGTGCAACCACCTTCTTTTAGCATTGAGCTCTGGGGGCTGCAGGCGTCACTCATCAGAACACAACTCAACATGAAGGGTTCCAGTCTGAATGAGTCCTCTGGTGTTTCTCTGCTACAGTTTGCAGCAAAACAAGGAGGGTTGGAGTTGATGGCTTTATGGTAATCATAATAGCAGACATGGATCAGATCATGTGGATTATGAAAGCTGTCTGCGTTTTACAGAAATCACAAAGACTGGATTGTTGAGGAAGTTGGGTACTTGTGTGTGTTTTCACTAGGCTGTTTATGCAAATAATGAGAAACCTTTGTTACTGCTTTGTTCAAGAAGGTTTATCCTCTATCCATCCATGAGGGACATGCAAGCGGGAATCCTAAAATTTGCGACTCTGTTCACAACTCGCCTATAGAGCTCCGGGAGTTGACGTCACTTCTCCCGGCATGCAACAGTTCAAATCGAAACGGCGCCATATTGGCAGGCAGAAGCCCACAGCTGGACTATTTGTTATTGTCAAAAAACTCAATAAAACGGGAAATATGGTAGATTCCTGTTGTGCCCAGGATGTAGAACAGACGCGGACGACATAAGGAATGAGCCATCTATAGGATTCCCCAAGATCCGGAGCGCTGCAAACGTTGGATCATTGTAATAAAACGCACTAGTGACCGGGCTGAAATAAAGCTGTGGGATCCCGAGAGTAAAGGTTTTCGCTTATGCAGCGACCGCTTCATATCAGGTATTTAAACCAACGTTTCCTCAACTGTGTATGGTGTTTATTTTTAAATGCTTTTATTACGATTCTTAGTGGGCTTCCTAAACTTATTTTGGTGTGGCTTTTTCTGTCTTATTACTCATAGTAACAAGTAAACATCACATAAAACGTTGCCTCGTGAGTTCTGCGTGCTGCCGTTTACGTGTCTTATGATCACAGCAATTAACCGGCTAAGCTGTATTTAATTTTTAAGCAATGGTTGATCAGTTGTCAGATCACACATAAAAAGCACTTTGGATTGCTATTATCTGTCTCACCGAGACAGATCTCAGACAGATCCTGAGACGCTCCTGCCTGACATATTTATTTTATTCACGGAAAAAAAAATCAAACTAGTGATTTCTCTTGGCGTTCAGTTTATGCATTCAAACAGCACAGCACTCTATTTAAACTACTTGCGTGTAAATCTGTTATTTGTCCATCCATCCATCCGGAGTCGGGTTGCGGGGGCAGTAGCGTTGAGAGGCCCAGACTTCCCTCTCCCCAGCCACTTGGGCCAGCTCCTCCGGGTAAATCCCAAGGGTTTCCCCG